TATAGGTAGTCTATCTCTCAATTCTAAATAAATATAAAAGCTATCTTTTGTACATATAATTTGAACGCGATAATATCTATAGATCTTTTTCGAAAAATTGTCTCACGCTCGTAAAAGTAAACGAAGTAAATCTAATCTTAGAGAAACGCTTTCAGAAACTGTATGTTATGATACAGAAATTTATCACCCTCCTAAATAAACGTGAATGATACATCTTTTGTATATATCATTTTGAAAAAGATAAGTAATTGTAGACCTTTTACGTCTGCGCATCATCATACCCACTACTTTTTCTTTTCTCTACGGGGAACGGCATACGGTGCTGAGACTGGTGAAGCATTCAAGCTTCGTTGCTTCTACTCGCAGCATAGCTAGTTCTCGTTATTTACAAGTTCTTTCAAGTTATTTACAAGTTCTTGCAAGAAAAATGTCGCTAACGTGAACCCCGATTTGAAGAAGACGCGAACAGTCTCTCTACAGAAGTGAGAAACGAGCGTAACATGCTTCCATGCACGACTTACGCTCTCAACAATTCGGACACTAAGAGGATGCAAGTTGGGTTGAGTACCATGTACGACGTGGGAACATTTGAGCCATCGATCAGGATAATGGGAAAACACGTCTTCAGGAATTCTCCTTGATTGAATACGTGGGAGAAATTTAAAGACATTATACCCTCTGCAAATTCTTATTTGTGCGGGGAAAATAAGAATATGCCAGCCCCTATCATAAACAATATCGCCATCAGCTTTACCTCAGCGGTACGGTGACGGGCTATATGGTGAGCCAGCGAGGGAAAATGGTGGACGAAAGCGGGTCTGCGAAGAAGGTATCGGAGGACTCTACACATTTGAAGCAGCCGCCGTTGAAAAAGCGTAAGTTATACACGGAGAATATTGTAATGCAGAAGACATCTTCGATGGTCTGGAAACTGTCGCGAAATGTATCGATGCTAGATACGAACACTTACAAGCGGTTGCAGCCCTTGTGAGTAATTGTAAATGTATTTTAATATCCGAAATAGAACTTAATCTTGCGAAGAAAGGCGTAAACGAAAATTTCGTAAAATAGACGCTCGCTGATAAATATCGAGAAATCGAGGAAAACGTACGGCGTCAAATAAAAAATTTAGAATTTTTAGACACGTATTTTAATATTGTATTCGCTGAATTAACCACGATTCATTTAAATGAAATTATACACGAAATTGTAACGAATGCAGAATGCACGAGTGTTTGCCAAAACTACGAATGTAACTCAAAAAATAAATGTAATTTATTTTATAAATATGTGTATATTCTTTTCTCCACCTCTTTCTCTTCCTGCGATCTCCAATTCGTTGTAACAAAACCCAACTTAACTTAATTTTTCGATTCGAAAACGAAGGGGAACATAGAAAAAAATATTTCGAGTAGACATCGTCTTCCAACAATAGTTTTTAACTTCGAAATTATCTTATCTGCACGAACCATGTGCATTCACGCTCGCGCGCCTCAAGAGCAGGGATCCCAGAGATTCGAGTAGGACTTAGAATTTTCGAAATTTTCCACGCGTGACGTCAATATTCTACGTAAGTATACGATATAGCTAGTTTCCATCAGAGTATAGCAATAACGCTGCGTATAAGACACTTGACTCAAGAGCTAACGGACTCTTCGAATCCGAGAAGGACCTCTACAGGATTTTTCCAGAGACTCACATGTGGAGATGACCACACACGCACAGCCTCACCCCGTTATACGACTACGTCGTAAAGGCTGTTTTTACCAGAGAGCAGCAATAGCACGATGGTAAGATGGTTTGACTTCGAGAGCCAGAGGTCCCAGGTTCGAATCCCCAAGCAAGGCCTATACAGAGTTTTTCCAAAATCTTGTGACGTCGATACTTTCCGTATGTAGACTTTATATTAACTAATTCCCATCAGAGTATAAAAAAACGGTAGCGTGGTGAGTAAAAGAAGACGCGTGACTCGAGAGCCCAGAGGTCCCAGGTTTCGAATCCAGCAAGGCTACAACACAGAGTTTTTCCAAAACCTGTGACGTCGATACTTTCCGTATGTAGAGGTTATATAAACTAGTTTCATCAGGGTATAGCAGTAGCGTAGTAGTAAGACTCGTGACTCAAGAGCCAGAGGTTCCAGGTTCGAACCCAGTTAACTCCACAGAGTTTTTCCGCAAATGCAATATGCAAATTAAGTGGTTGAGCAAGAGCCAGAATTGCCAACTCCTCTAACAATGTCGGCCATAATTTGCTTATTTCAAAAGTCGATTAGTTTTTGCCTGTGGGGAGGTATGGCCAGTCAAAACATTCCCCCTTCACTCGACCCGCCGGTGCCGGTGGGCGTGGTTTAGCGGCACCGGTGGGTCGAGTGGAGGGGGAATGTTTTGACGGGCCATACCTTCCCACATACTACTAATTTGAATTAAAATCGTGGTGAGCTCCTCATATGTTAATACTGTCTCGCCGATTGTACGAAGTAGGTGAAACTTCGTTGATTTTACCGCAGCTTCCCATTTACCTCCGAAGTGTGGAGCTGACGGAGGATTAAATATCCACTTGGTTCCATCATTGGCCAAAAGAGAAGCTAGCTCTCGTATTTCTTTCGAAGCTGAATTAAATTGTTGACGAAGGTTCGCATCTGCTCCTACAAAATTTGTCCCGCAGTCACTGTATAAAGTCGCACAAATACCACGCCGACCGGTAAATCTTTTATATGAAGCGATAAATGCTTCTGTAGTGTATTCTGTAACTAATTCAAGATGTACGGCGGATGTCGATAGGCAAACGAATATTGCGAGGTATCCTTTATATTTTCTTGCCGCCCGCCCTCGCCAAGTTTTAATAAAAATAGGACCGGCATAATCAATTTCAGAATGAAGAAATGGTCGAGATGGAGTGACTCTTGGTTCTGGTAATTGGCCCATTAGTTGCTATGCTCTTTGCCCTCGATAACGTGCACAGCGTATACATCGTAAGATATATGCACGAACTGGAGTTCTTTCGCCTATAAGCTAACAACTCCGACGAATATAAGCTAAAGTGGATTGCGTACCTCCATGAAGTGTTCGGATATGAACGTCAGCAATTATTAGAGTGGTCAATGATGAGTTTCGTGGCAAGATGTAAGGATGTTTTTCGTCTGGATCCAGGGCAGAGTATTCTAATCTTCCTCCAACTCGTAACATGCCGAATTTATCAATGAAGGGAGTGAGTCGGCTTAAAGGATTGGATTTTGATAACTGGCTTCCTTGAGAGATAATTGTCATTTCATAAGAGAAATATGAAAGTTGAATTATTTTTACCCATATTTTAAACTTTCTTGTAGCTCCGCAGGAGTAATTGGAGGGAATGCGTTTTTATTTATTTGTCGACGCATATATGAAATTGCTCGACGAATGATTGCGGTGATTTTTATCAATTTTTTGAGTGACGAGTATTTTTCAACAAGATCCCAGCTAGGAGAACATTTCGCCTTTGTTATTGTGAGTAAATGTCCTGGTCTTATTTCAATATTTGCATTAAATAGAGAACGAGAAATAATGTTCGGCCAGCTTGAAGATGGTCGACTTATCCAAGTTGGTTCCACCAGAGAATGTATTTTTTTAACTGTTCAGCTCGGAGTCCTCTTGAAGCACAGTCAACAGGATTCTCTTTACCAGAAACGTAACGCCAAGTAGCTTGAGGGGCTTCTTTTTGTATTTGAATTACCCGGTTGCGCACGAAATCTTTCCATTTTGAAGGATGTGCAGTGATCCAAGTCAATGTTACTGACGAATCCGTCCAGAAGAAGATAGGGGCCTTGTGAAGTTCTAGAGATTGCTTAACATGAGATGCAAGACGTGTTACCATTAATGCTGCTGTTAGTTCCAAACGTGGAATTGTTAAAGACATTAAGGGGGCAACTTTCGTTTTAGCGCATACGAGATTAATAAAAATCTCATTGTGTTGTACGACTCGTAAATAGATCACTGCTGCCATAGCCAAATTAGATGCATCTGAAAAACCATGGATTTCTACTGTGGTCACTGAAGAAGAAATATTTAACCATCTAGCAATGTTAAGTTCGCTTAACGCAGGTAATTCTTGCCGAAAGTCATTCCAAAACTTCTGTTGAGCGGGAGAGAGAGAGTCATCCCATTCTATTTTTGCTAGCCAAAGCTCTTGAATGAATATTTTCGCTCTTATAATTACAGGAGATAAAAAACCTAACGGATCAAATATTTGTGCAATTTCAGACGTTACTGTTCATTTTGTGATCTTCATGCTCGTCGATGGTCAAATGGAAAATTTGAACATGTCAGTGGTTGGCTGCCAAATTAGTCCAAGTACTTTTACTTGAGAGGATTCCAATTCCACGGTAGAAGTGATTTTTTCAAGAATTTTGGGCATGTTCGCGAACACATTTAAATTGTTACTACTCCATTTTTGTAAGGAAAATCCGCCCGCTTTACAGATTGCAATTAATTGAAGAACAATCTTTTGAAGTTCATTAATTGATTCAGCTCCTCCGAAAATATCGTCGATGTAACGATCCTTAGGCATGGCAGGGATGGCAAGAGGAAATCGATTTCCTTCGTCCTTAATGAGCTGCTGTAAACATCTTAATGCTAAATAGGGAGCACAATTTAGTCCATAAGTGACTGTTGTCAACCTATAAGAAAGGATTTTTTGTTCAGGATTTTGCCAGAAAATTCACTATAAATCCCAATCGTCTGGGTGAATTTTAATCTGTCGATACATTTTAATTATGTCCGTGCCAAAAATATATTGAAATTTTCGAATCCATAGTAATACTTGCGTGATATCTGGTAATTTTGGGCCGGAATATAATATATCATTTAGGGAAAGACCGGAGCTTGTAGGACTTGATCCATTAAATACAACTCGTAATTTCGTCGTCCGATTTTGCTCTCGTAGAACACCGTGATGAGGTAAATAACAAGCTGGCTTGTTGCCTATTTCTTCTGGGAAAACTAGTTTCATATGACCTAAAGCTTCGTATTCCTGAATAAATTCTGTATACCGCCTTTTGTAAGACGAATCGGTACAGAAACAACGGTTTATTCTGGATAAACATCTGAGAGCTGGTGTAGTGGAATTTCCCAATGCTGATGCAGATGATTTTAATGGTAATCGCACAACAAATCGCCCAGTTTTGTCTCGTGAATGAGTTGCTTGAAAATGCATTTCGCAGCTGGTATCACAAAGTTTTAGAGCATGTTGTTCTCTTTGTGGTAGTTCCTCTTGAATCCAGAATCTAGTAAGAAGCTCTTCTAAGTTATGATCTCGAGAGCATTGAGATCCTATGGCTGAAGATGGAGAAGATGTATCTGAAGGTGAAGCTGGCCCGAATAGAACCCATCCGAATATAGTTAATTGGGCAATGGGAGAATTGATTTCGCCTCTGATGATCCTTGATTTAATAATTTCCCCATGATAATCGGCACCTATGAGTATCTGAACGGGCCTTGGTATTCCGAAATCTGGATCAGCTAATTGAAGCTTCTGAAGATGCGGCCAAAATTGTTTAGATACGTCAATTGATGGTAGCTTTCGCGTCAAACGAGGCAAGATGTGTGCTTGTATTGTGCAACCAGCTGAAGCATCATATAATGAGCTGAGCTTTAAGGTAACTATTCCTTTTGTGCGTCCGGCATACTTACCACCGATGCCGATGAGAGGAATAGACGCGGTTCGCCTGTTTAAATGTAGTCGGTGAACTAATTCCTCTGCGACGACCGTGAGTTCAGAATCTGAATCTAGCAATAATCGAACTCTCTCGTTTCCGCTATTATAATGCACTTTTAGCTGACAGAAGAACTGAGGGACGAATTTCAGCAACTTGCTCCGCATAATGAGCAAGTGGACGTACTAGTCAATCAGTGTTGACCGTTGGCGGAAGAGGGTTAATAGAAGTTTTGTGACTGGCTATTTGTGAAGCTTCAGAAGTAGTAGAAGATCGCTTGTGATGAACTTCTTCTTCGTGAATATTCGTATGATGTTTACGCCCACATTTTTTACATCTCCATTTACTGGAGCACTGTTTCACTATACGATTTCCGAAACAGTTGAAACACAACTGTCGTTGAAGAAGAAATTCTCGTCGTTGTTTCATTGTTCTGGAAATGAAACTGGAACAATTATAAAGCGTGTGAGAGAGTTTACATAAAGGGCATGACAGTTGAACGGAATCATTTGTGGATATTGCTACGTGGATTTTATAACGAGTATTTTCCTTCCCAAATGATTGGATATAGCGGTCAGCTGCTGTAGATGAACTGTTGTGATGTGTTTCGATATTTTCCATAGCTCGAGTGCGACTATTTAAAAATTCTTCGTATTGTGCAAACGTTGGGTAAACTGTGGTAAGAGTGGATCCCATTGATGAGTTAAGCAACCTAGGGCACGCAATGCTCCAAGACATTCTGTAACAGTGGTAAGCATATCGCGCAGATCTCGCGCAGAGCGAATTTTGAGCGGTTTTAAGTTGAGCAGTTTATCAAGCTGCGCCGATATAAGGAATCGTTTATTCTCATAGCGTGCTACAAGAGCTTCCCATGTAATTGTAAAATTATCATCAGATACAGCAAGATTTGATATCAGTCGTAGAGCTTCTCCGGTCAAACAAGTCCTTAGATAATGAAGTTTTTCAACATTACTGAGGTCGACGTTGTTGGTGACCATGGAAATGAAGAGATCATAAAATGGCCGCTAAGATTGATAGTCTCCAGAAAATTGCGGCAAGGAAATCCGAGGGAGCGCACTCCGGAAACTTTGCGAGCTATTATTTGGAGCTGAAGATCCTAATAATCTAGCTACAGGATTTGAAGACTCCAAATCTTCTTGTTGGACGAGTAGTGAAGCACGAGCTTGAATGTAAAATTCTTGACAACATTCAAAGATTTTGTTCTTTATGTATGGCTGTTGTACTAGGAAATTAACTTCCACTTGACAAATATTATCGTGTTCATATTAAAATTTTTCCCAATTTGCTTCGAGCACTTCCAGTCTTGTAGAAATCACTTGTTTAGACATAAAATTACGCTCACTATCTAGCGAATCTTCCGCAGCTTGTTGAATAAGTAAAAACCGGCTTTCTTGTAAAGTTATTCGAGACGGGAAAATTGGCCATATTGCTTCCTTTTGAAAATTACAGTTGGTATAAGATGAACGTGAATGTACGTGGTGTTTTGTTAACTCAAATTCATTTTATCTGGCTCGAAGGACCAAAATGTTATGTGGACTGTATTTTCTATATATACAGTAAAATTATTATAATTGAAATAGGTATATTCACATAAACTTTGAAGGGAGCGTTGTAATTGGTAGTGATGAGAGTCGTAATAGATTCGGCCAGCGGGAAAGGAGGCAGTCGATAATCTCAATTCAACAGCGTTTTTTGAGAGGTGGCAATAGCCGAAGTTCAGGAGCGTTGACAATAGAGGTGGCAGAAAACGATGCAGGTTCGGACGTCAGGGAAGGAAATGGAGAAGTACCGTAGATCAGTAGCGCCGGTGGAGGTGATGACAGGAGACGTTGTAAATCTGGGAGTCGTGAAGAAGGTGGCGGGAGCCGTTAAAGATCTGGACTTCAGGAAGAGAGGCGGCGAACAGCCGCTGATCAGGAGCGCTGACAGAGGTGGCGACAGAGGACGGCGAAACTGTAATCAAAAAACCTGGCGCAAGAAGCGCAATGCCCGACACACAAGGTGCAATGTCCCGGCGCAAGAAGCGCAATGCCCGGCGCACGAGGCACAATATCCCGGCGCACTAGGCGCAAGCTCGGCGCATAAGACGCAATGTCCCAACGCAAGATGCACAATGCCCAATACACAAGGCGCAATGTCCCGGCACAAGAAATGCAATGCCCGGCGCACAAGTCACAATGTCCTAAAATTTCACCACTGTATTAGAACAAAACTGAGATAAACACAATTATAGCACGTAAGAGAGATGAAAATTACGACTGACTCAAGTAATAGCAGAAAGTAGAATGAATAAAAGAGAGAATGTTATATTGAGAGTTGCCCCTCGCAACCGTCTTGAACCAGCCTCCCTTTTTTTTTTACGCGCAGGATCATGGCCACCTCTGCTGCCGCTTCTTATTTCTCAACAACAATAATATTTATAATAACATTTTTATAATTACAGATCCAAGAAGATGGCAGCGTGCCGGCAGAGCACGCTGTAGGGGCCGCGGGAGAGGACGCGGGGGATATGGAACAAAACATTTATATTTTAACTTTTATTTTTTAACTTTTATATATAAATAAAATATTTATTATTCTTAAAATATGTAGTCTATGAAAAAAATAAAATATCTTATTAATTCTATATTATGATGTATTAATTTAATATTTTACCAAATTATTATTGTATATCCTGAGATCTCTGTATTTGTAACAGATAATATATTAGTAAACTCATTTAACTCTGAATTCGAATATGAATTTACTAAAGACAACTTTAAAATTATTATATTAAAACAAGCCTTAAGTATTATGCGTATCTAACTCTAAAATTTTTTTTTATATTGGTTGGCAAAAAAGTAATTTCAGTTTTTTAGTGTGAAATAAAACTCAATTTTTTCTATACAAAAAATGAACTTTAATCGGTCAAATATTTTCCATCCTGTTCGATGACCTTTTTCCATCTTTCTCGTAGCTTCATGATTCCGCGCTCATAGAACTGCTGGTCCTTATCAGCAAAAAACTCAACCGAGTGCGATTTGAGATCATTGTTGTTGTTGAAATTTTTACCGTTTAAAAAGTTTTGTAAACTTCGAAATAAATGATAATCCGATGGTGCAAGGTCCGGGCTATATGGAGGATGTGACATCACTTCCCAACCAAGCTCTAATAATTTCGTACGTGTTGCTAAAGATGTATAGGGCCACGCATTGTCGTGGTGGAACACGATTCCTTTACGATTTGCCAATTCTCGCCTTTTCTCTTTGATTGCTTCCTCCAATTTCATAAGTTGTTGGCAGTAAACATCTGAGTTGATCGTTTGGTTGCTTGGAAGCATCTCAAAATACACAACACCTTTGTAATCCCACCAAATTGACAGCATGATCTTTTTTAATGCAATTCAGCTTTCGATACGGTTTATGCCGGTTCATCATGCTTGGACCATGATCTTTTTCGATTAATGTTGTTGTAGACAATCCATTTTTAATCACCAGTGATAATTCGCTTCAAAAAAGGATCGATTGCATTACGTTTGAAATGCGTATCGCAAATATTGATTTATTGTGTTAAGTGAATTTCTTTCAATTCGTGCGGAACCCAAATATCCAGCTTCTTAACGAGTCCAAGACGTCTTATGTGATTTTCAATTGTTCTGTGTGACACATTTAACCTTTTTGCCATCTCTCGCACAATTATATGACGATTTGATTCAATTATGGCTTTCATTTTGTCTTCATCAACTTCAGAAGGTCGGCTAGAACGTTAATCATCTTTAAGTGAAAAATCTCCAGAACGAAATTTTTTAAATCAATTCTGACACGTGCGTTCTGTTATGCAACCAACACCATAAACTTCACATATCTCTTTATGAGCCTCAGCCGCTTTCTTGCCTGTACGAAAATAAAAAAATAAAATATGGCGAAAATGATAATTTTTGCACTCCATATTAAAATTGACCGTAAACCAACAGTTGTAAACAAAACACGGAATTTGTTTCTATAGTAACCTAAGAATGTCAACTACCAAATCTGAAAAGAAAAAAATTATAACATTGACAGAAGAATAACGACACAAACATAACGCTTTCTATTGGCGCAAACCGAAATTACTTTCTTGCCAACCCAATATTAATAGTTGCAACTTCAAACTTGTCTCTAGTAAGATATTCAGATTCAAATTCAGAGTTAAATAAGAGATCTCCAGTCGAAGCGCTATTACAAATATATGGATGTCACATATATCATTTAATAACTGAAATTAAATAAAACTTCGAATAACTATCTGAGTATTTTATAATAAACAATGAGACAAGTTTCAAATGACAAGTATTAATTAATAATGCGTACCTACATTAAGTGAGAGATACTCAGATCTCATTTGACTTAGGTACGCATTAATTAATACTTGTCACCTGAAACTTGTCTCATTGTGAAATACTCAGATGATTATTCAAAGTTCTATTCAAACGTTTCAATTAAATGATACAAATGCGATATTCATGTATTTATAAAAATAGCGCTATTACTGAAGATCTCTCATTTAACTTTGAAATCAAGTTGAATATTTTATTAGAGACATCTTTGAAGTCATGGCTATTAAAACAGACCTTAAATATATTATGCATGTCATGTGGTCAACTGCAAAACTCTGATTTAACTCTGATCTAACTCTAAGCTTGTGTTAATAATAATGAGATTTTATAATAAACAATGAGACAAGTTTCTGATGACAAGTATTAACTAATAATGCGTACCTACATCAAATGTGAGATACGAGTGCAGTTTGATAAGTCAGTGACTTTTTGAATTTTCCGCGCAGTAACTTTAAATGCAGCACTGCTCCCGTCAACTGCCATCTATTAATAGACTACTGTACAAGTTTGGGCAAGCTGCGCCATTTAGTTAGTGTTTGGCAGCCATTGAAAGCAGACAACCTATTGAATTTTAACGAAAATGGAAAAAAGTGAATTTTGTGTGCTGATTAAGCATTATTTTTTGCGTAAAAAAACCATCACCGAAACCAAGGCAAAGCTTGATAAATACTATGGGGACTCTGCACCATCAATTTCAATGGTTAAGAAGTGGTTTACTGACAAGGGACATTCGGCAACGCGGAAATTCAAAAAAATCTGAAACTCTGCATAATTGTAGAGCAGATATACCTAATAACAAAACAATTTTTCATTGGTGCCCAAAAACGGTTTTAAGGGTGGAAACAACCCCTTGAACAAAGTTGATTTTTGTCTTTCTAAGCGAATATTATCGAAACTATTAAAGATATGAAAAAATGTTTTAGACAAAAGTTTTATGGTTTTAAAAGTACTTTATTATGCTATATTTAGATTTTTTTAAAATGTAAAATTGTGTATAAAATACCCCCCCTCCTTCTCTTTTTTCAAATTGTTAAAATCAATTGTCCAATCAAAATAAAGCTTATTTTATGACAAATTCAACCATATATAATAACATTATGTTTGGAAAAGGCAATATTGAAAAAAAAATTAAACATGCTCTTATATGTATGCTACGCGTACCAAACTTAAGGATTCGCTACTTGACGATGGCATTTCTTTCTTCCTCAAATCTTCCTCATAATTGCAAACTGTAAAAGATAAGGAAGGAAGAAAATAGAAAATCTAAAAAAGCAATAAAGTTGATGTTAAGAAGTAAGTTGAAGAAGAACAGCATGATAAGGAGGACGCAGAGAGAGTGTATATAACCCTAATATAGATAATCTTTTAAATTCAATTGTAAAGAACAAATAAGGAAATGAATGATATGAAGAAAAAAGGAGAACACACACGGATTTAATAATGAAAAATATAATTTATAAATTTATTCAGTGTACATTTGTGTGTATGTGTTTTGCTTCATTCAGTATATAGGTTTTATTAATTAAGTAGTCGATATAGATATTCGAGTGAAAGATATCTTATATTTTGGTATGGATTATAATATATACAAATTTTACAGGAATTGAGGACAGTAAAATATTATTTATTCTATATAATTATTACAATAATGATATTGCTCAAAGAAATGTTCAAAACAAAAATATTGCTTGCACCATGCACAACGTATAAAAGCCATTTTACCACAAATGCTACATTTTGGTATACGTTTTTCTTCTTTAAAATAACAATAATCGATTGGATTATGAAATTTTTCAGGCCGTGTTGATAAATAACCACTTTTATACCAGCTATATCTAAATAAATTTCGAAATCTTGGAGAAGACAGTTGATTGTGTGTTAAAGATTGCAATTTTATTATGTTATTACGTAAATGTAAATTTATGTCATAATTATTTATAATAACACTATCAGAAAAGCTTCGAACAAAATTTTTCCAGATTCTGAAACCAAAAACATCTAATGGCTATATAAAAGCAGTTGTTTTTTTTGGTATTGTTAGAATATTTACATGTTTGTCTTTTGGTACAAGTTCTTCCAATTGGTTCGGGCAATGTCCTGTCCATGAATCAAGCAGTAGTATACTTTTCTCTCCAGTGTTTGGTAGATACACTTCTTGGAACCAATTTTTGAAATGTTCAGTTGTCAATTTCCCTGATTTTGAAGCCGCAATGTAAATATTCACTGGTCTAAAAAGAGTTTGTTCTACTTGTGGTCCAAAAACACCAGTAGATTCTTTTAATACTATATACTATATACTATAAAGGCGAAAGGAGATGTCCATCTGCAGATATAATAGGCATAATGGTGTAGCTATGAGTCATAGCAGATAAAGATTGGATAGTAGCTCCAACTGTCTTCACTCCTACATTAGCTAATGTTCTTCCTGCATGTATTTCTAAATTAAAGCCACTTTCGTCCGCATTATAAGTTGATTCAGCACCGATTACATTAATATGTGGCTTTACTGTATTTACAAATTCCTCAGCGTTTTGACGTATAGTTAGATCAGTTAAATGAGAAGACCGCGTTTTAAATGCAGTTATTTTACGTGATGTAATACGATGTGCCTTTTTAAAATTCCATATCCACCAATTTCCTGCTTTAAATGAAGAAAAATCCACTTGTTCCTTTGCTTCTAGTGCCCATTTTCGCAGATTTATATCATGAATAATAAGTCCTCTATTAACAGCTTCTTGGAATTTTATAAGAACATATTCAGCAATAACTACAAGTTTGTCTGTATTTGAACCTCCACGCATTACATGTTCTTGCCATCTGTGCAATTGTTGAATAGATTTTACCTAGAAGAAAACAAATTTCAATATTAAACAATTCGAATTCAAAAATAAAAGAAGTTATATACGAATTAAATGTTCACGAAACATCAAATTGTAAAACTTAAAATAAAAAACAACGCGACTCTAACTATATAATTTATAGCTTTGGTCATAAGTATAAAGCATCTCTAACTCATTGTATTTTCCTAGAAATCAATGCATATACTCATAGTAAATATATAATCTCTTTACAATAAATATTATATTAATATTTTATAATATAATGTGTATATTATATTTATGTATATTATATTTATATTATAATTTATATTATATTAATATTATATTATATTACAATAAATATTGTAAAATAAATATTATTTTCCACATATTCTTATATTATATTTTTTTATTATATTATTTTTCCATATACTCATACTATATTATGTCCTCCATATATTCATATAGTATGTTTTTGTTACACAATTTAAATAAATTTTTTGGGATGCTTTATACTTATAGTCAAAGCTGTATGTACAATGACCGACAATGATGCGTTCCGCGAGAAGGGAAATAGAGTTCTCTCTGTCGCGGAACGAATCACTGCCGGTCACTGTACACCGTAAAAGCCTCAAGTATTTTACTATATATTATTCTTCTTATTTTTTAATTAAACTTTACTTTTCTAAAACGATGTTGTACAGAAGTAAGAGATAAATGTCCTTTCTTTCCACTCTTCCAAAATTCGATTGCCTTTTTCTTATAATTTAAGTTTACATTTCCACCTTCATCATCCACAGTGCAAACTTCATTTCCATAATTATCTTCTTCAGCATCAATATCGTACACATCTACAAATTGTACGTCATGCGGTTCTGATGGATCGTCAAAATCAAGTCCCCACTCATGTTCGATCGTAATATCGTGATGTATAGCACTCTTTATTAAATCAGTAATTGTATCATGGAGTTCCACCTCTTGATGATTAACAGGAGTTATTGCAATATTTGTGAAATGAAATGTCGCAATTAACAAATTAATAACATTAGCTGGATTTATTACTGACATTATGATACAAATCTTAAGGATATTTTAATTAAACATTTCTCACAGCAATAATAATATACGTACTGCTTCAATAACTGCTTCAATAACACTGAAATGTATTCCAAAATGGACAGCTTTTATATGCAAATGAATGAAGATAACATATGTCAATATAATGAACCTTGATTGCACTGTACTTGATAAAGAGTGCTATTTTGGTCGCACAGTCATAAAACTTGTGACAAGTGTTTTGCATGTTGCCATGATGTACACACACGTGCGCACGTACAAAAACACACATACACACACACACATATTTATTTATATTTACGCGTCGTTTAAATTAATGAAAAAGGTAGCCGCAATGTTGGCAAAATAAACGTCTATTACGTGAAATTTTATAATTTATAACATTTTTAAATATTAGTGACTGTATCCTTATCATGCTATTTTTCTCCTACTTACTTCTTAACATCAACTTTATTGCTTTTTTAGATTTTCTATTTTCTTCCTTCCTTATCTTTTACAGTTTGCAATTATGAGGAAGATTTGAGGAAGAAAGAAATGCCATCGTCAAATAGCGAATCCTTAAGTTTGGTACGCGTAGCATACATATAAGATCATGTTTAATTTTTTTTTCAATATTGCCTTTTCCAAACATAATGTTATTATATATGGTTGAATTTGTCATAAAATAAGCTTTATTTTGGTTGGACAATTGATTTTAACAATTTGAAAAAAGAGAAGGAGGGGGGGTATTTTATACACAATTTTACATTTTTAAAAAATCTAAATATAGCATAATAATGTACTTTTAAAACCATAAAACTTTTGTCTAAAACATTTTTTCATATCTTTAATAATTTCGATAATATTCGCTTAGAAAGACAAAAATCAACTTTGTTCAAGGGGTTGTTTCCTCCCTTAAAACCGTTTTTGGGCACCAACGAAAAATTGTTTTGTTATTAGGTATATCTGCTCTACAATTATGCAGAGTTTCAGATTTTTTTGAATTTCCGCGTTGCCGAATGTCCCTTGTGAGTTCCGTTGTGGTCGTACCAGCACAAGTGACGCCGAACGTTCAGGTCGCCCAAAAGAGGTCGTCACGCCAGAAATCGTCGATAAAATCCATGGAATGATATTGGACGATCGGAGAATGAAAGTGCGTGAAGTGGCTGAGGCTGTAGGCATCTCAACTGAGCGGGTACATCACATTTTACATGAATATTTGGACATGAAAAAGCTATCCGCGCGATGGGTGCCGCGATTGCTCACACTCGACCATAAGCGCAACCGTGTGACCATTTCAAAGGAGTGTTTGGCGATGTTCAGCCGCAATCCGAACGAGTTTTTGCGCCGTTTCGTTACCGTAGACGAAACATGGATCCATCACACCACACCAGAGGTCAAGGAACAATCAAGACAGTGGGTTTCTTCGGGTGAACGTGCACCAAAGAAGGCCAAGGTGGGTCTGTCGGCCAACAAGGTCATGGCCACAGTTTTTTGAGATGCACGCGGTATCATTCACATCGATTACCTTGAAAAGGGTAAAACGATCACCGGCGAATATTATTCAGAGCTTTTGGACAGATTCGATATTGATTTGAAGCAAAAACGACCGCATTTGGCGAAGAAAAAAGTGCTGTTCCATCAGGACAATGCACGGGTACACACGTGTGTAGTCACCATGGCAAAAATCCATAAATTGGGCTACGAACTGCTACCCCATGCAGCATATTCACCAGATTTAGCCCCCTTTTTTTTTTTTTTTTTTTGACGAGGAGGAAATCCATCATGGATACCCTGACCCTCGGAGAAGGGCCAGGGTTATGCCGGACTCCTACCGGCTAAAACCTCCCCGGGTGGCGCTGCGAAGGGACTTGGGTCGAGGCCCCGGTGCCGCGTAACTGCTAATCGGGGCCCCGAGTCCAACCAGATTTAGCCCCCTGTGACTATTTCCTGTTTCCAAACCTGAAGAAATGGCTGGGCGGTAAGAGATTTGGGTCGAATGAAGAGGTCATCACTGAAACAAACGCCTATTTTGAGGGCCTTGAGAAGACCTATTATTTGGAAGGAATAAAAAAATTGGAAAAACGGTGGACTAAATGTATCGAGCTAAAAGGAGACTACGTTGAGAAATAAAACGCTTATTTGCCGAAAAAAATATCTTTTATTAAAAAAGTCACTGACTTATCAAACTACCCTCGTACTCAGATCTCATTTGACTAGGTACGCATTAATTAATATTTGTCATCTGAAACTTGTCTCATTACTATTAACACAAGCCTTAGAGTTAGATCAGAGTTAAATCAGAGATATATGGATAATAATATGTTTTGTAACAACATCAGTAAAGAGGACCGTCAGATAATATATGCCAAAAATACGACGGGGGTGGTGGTGGGACCTCTTCTCTTTAATAATAATAATAATAATAAATAAATATATCTACATGTAAACGTAAATATATGCACACATACACTCAAATGCAAAAAACCCGGTACACTAAAAATTTGGGAAGAAATTACAAAATTTCAAATGATCATAACTTGGTAAATAATGAAGATACAAATATGCGCAGAAATGCAAATTGAAGCTTGAAACGTCCTCTTTAAGAATACCTGAATGGCAATTATGATCGGCCATTTTTTTCAAAATGGCGGATGATAAAGTGAGAGGATGCAAAATTGATAATCAAAGGTCCGTGTTTGCGATGGTGCATGGTGTGCACAGGTATCGCAGCGTAATAGGATCAAATGCACATGAAAGTATAAAGTGTTATCTTTAAAATGCTACTTTACCGAGCTCGATGTGATCATTTTTCACTGAGTTGTTCCAAATTTTGCTAAAAATGCGGTTTTCTTGTTAGATTTGCATAATTCAGTGAATAAGTATCGCATCAAGCTCTATAACGAAGTATTTTAAAGAAAACATTCTATACTTTTAGGTACTTTTCGTCCCATTGAGCTGCGACACTTACTTTGCTCCATGCGCCATCGCACGCTCGAACCTTTTTTTAGCAACTTTTCATGTTCTCCTTTTTATCACCCGCCATTTTGAAAAAATATCGTTGCGCACAATTTCGATAGATCTTTCGAAAAGTACGGTTTCAAAGCTTTCAAACCGTTTTTGAAATTTGCTGCTAGGATATTTAGGTGTCGAGATATTCAATTTCGAATTTGCAACAAATGTCGATTCAGCGAGGCTTAAGGGGCTAAGAGGCTCTGCGGTTCATTTGGCTCTTTCATAATTTCAATAGCCGCGCTCATTATTCTCTATACAATAATTTACATAATTTTGCGAATTGGAAATTTAATTTTTATCAAAAGTTATCATTCTTTACCCTTCAGTTACGCATGATCACTGTGGTATACACTTTAGTTCGCGAAGCTGTCCCTAGCTCTCTACCTTCTCCGTACGATTGGCCATTATGGTACACAGCTTGAATATGCTGTTCAGGATCGCGCCTGAGTTCGCGGTGACCCAGCGCGCGGGATGCCGAATCGCTGGACGCCACCTGAACGTCGAAATTCCCTGGCGCTCCTAGTCCACGGAGCCGCCGCGACGCGGCGATCTGGGTTGTCGCGCGCGCGAGCCCCTCGGCTCGCACGCGAGTTCGAGCTGCCCAGGGCATATAAGAGTGCCCGCGGAGACGATCAGAGATTGCCTTCGTACAGCTTTTGGCCTTCGTACGGTCCACCGCCAATAGTGGCACTATCTCTTGTACGCTGGACTTCGCGAGTTTGAGTACGCCGGGCTTACGTTCTGGCTTGACTGAGATTCTGTCGGTGCGCCGGGTTTTAACGCCTGGCTTGACTGGATTTTTCTTAAATGTATGTGCCAAGACAATAAACAAAGACAAACAATTTTCCTTTTCCGAACTTGTTCACTTCGATAAGCGCTGCCTCGTACGACTTTTCTTTTTCCGTGACCTTTTCCTTTCGAGGCGCGTTGCTTCGTGCAACTTCATCAATTTAAACCATAATTGATTGTTTCGCATCGAAATTATTGCGTCGATTATGGCGACGATAAATCCTGAAAAGGCTGCTCAAGTTATTGCTTTAATTGAAGATGGCAGAAGTCGAAGGTACGTTGCTTGATCAGGCACTTGATTTGTCAGTGTCAACTGTGCAACTTGCTTATGCCAGGTATTTACAAACCAATTCTTTCCATAGAAGGCCTGGTTCGGGACGTCCTCGATGTACCAATCACAATGATGACCGATTTATTGTTTCAAATTCGTTAAGAGACAGACATCGAACATCTGTTCAAATTAGAAACAATTTAAGGGATGTCCGCAACATTAATGTATCCGTTAACACCGTTCGGAGAAGATTAAAGGAACAAAATCTGCTTTCGCGCAGGCCAGCAGCTGTACCTTTGCTTAAATGTCACCATCGCGTAGCTCGACTCAATTTTGCAGTTGAGCATAGAGACTGGACTTACGCAGACTGGAGCAAAGTACTCTTTAGCGATGAATCTCGTTTTTGTGTCTATTCTCCAGATGGACGAGAACGAGTTTATCGTCGCGGTGGAGAACGATTTGCAGACTATACGGTAAGTGAGAGGCATAGCTACAATGGAGGCTCTGTAATGATTTGGGCAGGAATTTCAGCTAAGCTCATGCAGATCTGCACTTTTTTGACAAGAATATGAACGCAGATGTATACGTGGAAGACATACTCATTCCGTATGTTGTTCCGTACGCACCCTTCATCGGAGAGAATTTCTTGTTTATGCAAGACAATGCTCGACCACACACTGCGAGAAGAGTGCTTGATTTCTTCGATGAAATTGGCATAAATCGACTCGATTGGCCAGCAAATAGTCCAGATTTAAATCTAATCGAACAGTTATGGGACAACCTCGGCAGGAAAGTACGAAATCACGTACCTGCTCCTCAGTCACTGCGACAACTGCGAATAATTCTCGAAAACGAATGGAATACAATTACGCAGGATGAAATTAAAAGATTAATAAGGAGTATGCCTGATCGTATGAATGAGGTAATACGCGCACGAGGCAGTCATACCCACTATTAGTACACACACACCACACACACAGCAGAGAGGGTTTGGAGTCATTAATTACTGCAGGAGTGACGAACTGCGGGGTCCTTATCTCTGCTGTAACACCACACACACACATACACACACACACACACACACACACACACACACACACACACACACAACATACAATGGGACTTTTCCTACCAGTAAAACTCCATGCGGTTTATATTGGGAAGACTTACAACCATAATTTGAGCTAATGACAGCGGTATCTTAAAACGCAATTCATCTTTATCACGTAATATCGATTACGCAAAATGAAGAACCTAAATTGAATTTTACTTTCATTTCCCTGGCTTTCAAAATAATAAATGCAAATCATTGAATATATTGTGCTGGTTATATAAATTATTATATAGAAAAACATGAACACAGCTATTGAAATTATGAAAGAGCCAAACGAACCGCAGAGCCTCTTAGCCCCTTAAGCCTCGCTGAATCGACATTTATTGCAAATTCGAAATTGAATATCTCGACACCTAAATATCCTAGCAGCAAATTTCAAAAATGGTTTGAAAGCTTTGAAACCGTACTTTTCGAAAGATCTATCGAAATTGTATGCAACGATATTTTTTCAAAATGGCGGGTGATAAAAAGGAGAACATGAAAAGTTGCTAAAAAAAGGTTCGAGCGTGCGATGGCGCATGGAGCAAAGTAAGTGTCGCAGCTCAATGGGACGAAAAGTACCTAAAAGTATAGAATGTTTTCTTTAAAATACTTCGTTATAGAGCTTGATGCGATACTTATTCACTGAATTATGCAAATCTAACAAGAAAACCGCATTTTTAGCAAAATTTGGAACAACTCAGTGAAAAATGATCACATCGAGCTCGGTAAAGTAGCATTTTAAAGATAACACTTTATACTTTCATGTGCATTTGGTCCCATTACGCTGCGATACCTGATGCACACCATGCACCATCGCAAACACGGACCTTTGATTATCAATTTTGCATCCTCTCACTTTATCATCCGCCATTTTGAAAAAAATGGCCGAGCATAATTGCCATTCAGATATTCTTAAAGAGGACGTTTCAAGCTTCATTTTGCATTTCTGCGCATATTTGTATCTTCATTATTTACCAAGTTATGATCATTTGAAATTTTGTAATTTTTTCCCAAATTTTTAGTGTACCGGGTTTTTTGCATTTGAGTGTACATACATATTTGTAAAAAAAGATATGAAATCCAAACAAATTTACTTTAAAAAAAAAAAAGTATAAAAAAGGCACCAAGTACACGCGTCCCAGCGTTTGTTCCGCAAAAAAATCCGTATAAAAAACATTGATTTTTTAAAAATTGTTTTTAATATTACAAAAAAATAAAGACGAAGATAATAGTTCTCGGATATATAATTAACCGTTTCATATAGAAAATTCCGTAAAGGACTAATTTCTAAAAACAAATTCCAAAAGAACGTTACAAAAAAATAAAGACAAAGATAATTATATTATAGAATATTATGGAATGTTATATTTTAATCTGCCAGAAACTGTATCCTTGCAAAGAAAGAATGTTCAGAGAAAATTATTAATACATTTGTACAAAAAAAAATGTTACTTTTTAATACCTTATAAAAAGAA